CTTTGATGACGATATAAACATCATATTTTGGGACACTGTATGATTTTATAAACTGATTTTTAATATTTTTACTCTTATTAATAGTCTTATTCAATATACAGAGATTTATTTATTGAGACTTGGTCTGCATTTACTTCTAATCCACTGATGAAATTGGCAGACTTTGCCGGGAAAAGAGTTATGTTATATATTTAGATATTTATCTAATTGTGTGTGGGCGTTAAAGCCATTTCTATAGCTTCTTAATGATAGTTTAATTTATTTTGTTTGTTTGGTATTTTTAGGTCTGTTTTAAGGATTTGATGTTCCCCCTACTGGCTAGAATGAGAGGTGGCCTGTATTATAATACTTACATTGTAAGTGTAATATGATTGGAAAGAAAGAGAAAGAAGGAGAGAGAGAGAGAGAGAGAGAGAGAGAGAGAGAGAGAGAGAGAGAGAGAGAGAGAGAGAGAGAGAGAGAGAAGGATCGAGAGAGAGAGAGAGAGAGAGAGAGGGGGGGAGAGAGAGGGTGGGGAAAAAGGATGAAGGTGGGAGAGAGAGAGAGAGTGGGGAGGTTAATTGTTGTCAGATCATAAATGATAATTCCTTTTGGCTTTTGATGCTAATATAAATAAACAAACAGAGCATGTTTTGCCAAAAAATTAATAACAATAAATAAATAAATGAATGAATAACATCAACAATTACTAGAAGAAGAGGGGGAATCCTCCCTTTGGCAAAGTCTATGCTAAGTGGACTAAACATGCAGCATGCAAGTACATGTACTGTGCATATGCATGTACATGTAGCATTATGTCATGTATGGTTTTTAACTTTTAAAAATTCATAAAAAATTCAAATTCGATTGGAATCAGTTCAAACTTTCTACACAACATAAGAACATGTATATGTATCAGAAAACATTATAAAAGTAAAAAATTCTGTACTTTTTATTTTTGATGAAATTTGGCCAAAATCCCTGTACTATAGCCCATGGTTTTTTTCCAAAAAATGGCTCCGAAATCACCCTCAATTTTTATTACATTTTCTGATACATATTGATGTACTTATGCTATGTAGAAAGTTTAAGCTGATTCTGACCTCAATTTTTCAAGTTACGGCCATTTTAAAAAATGAGCCAAAATCTGAAAAATACTCAAGGCTATAGCCCATGGTTTTTTCCAAAAAATGGCTCCGAAATCACCCCCAATTTTTATTACATTTTCTGATACATATTGATGTACTTATGCTATGTAGAAAGTTTGAGCTGATTCCGACTTCAATTTTTCAAGTTACGGCCATTTTAAGAAAATGCCAAAATGTATTATCATGTATTATGGTATTACTGTAGGTTCCTGGATGCTATAGATCAGGTCTCATGCAAGCTTTCTCAAAACATTTAATTAAGAGACTAAACATAACACAAGAAATACCAGAGGTAAAAGTAAACAAAAATAAACAATAAAAATAAGTAAATATACACTTATTTATTTATATTTAATAATTAGGAGTCGAT